GGGAGCCATCAGGAGAGGAAGAGTCACCTCTGCCCTAAGCCCCAGTCAGTATAAGATGCCTGGCACCATGCCTGGCACAGGTGTAGAGTCTATGAGTGAATGAATGGTGCTTGGGCTGGGTCCCGGGCACTGGGCTGAGTGGACCCCTTTCTTACAAATGCCTGGGAGGGGGGCCTGGGATAGATGAAGCCACTCCCATTTGTTAGATTAGGAAACTGAGGCCCTGAGAGCCAATGCCACATAGCTAGTCAGTGCCACGGCCAGGTCTCAAATCCAGAAGCTCCTGCCACCAAATGTCTCTTCTCCCCATGCCCCTGGCTGCCTCTCCAATACACACACTCACTAACTCCAGTCTCATTCTCTTCAAGGCCACCCTTCTCTCTAACAATCAATGAACCATGTTTGACAAGCTGTGGGTTCTTTAGGGTGGCAGCTGTGTCTCGCTCATCCCTACATGCCCCTTGGCTACCAGTACAGCCCTTGAACACAGTAGGTGCTCAAACCACATTTGGGGGATTAATTTGTTCACACCAGCTCAGGCTTCAAGCTTTGCTGCTTACACAGTATGAGAGTTGCTTACAACTTATAAAAGAAATGGAAGGGATATTTATTATATGTCCCCTCCCTGGGCAGAGTTAGAGCTGTCTCCCACAGCAGGACCAGTGCCTGCCCTGAAACTCACTCCTGAAGCTCAGAGAAGGGCTGTGGCACTTGGGGGCCAAGGCCACAGGCATCATCTGGCCCCCATCAGGGTTAGACCATGAACCCCTGCCACATACACACGCATAATAAATGCCCTTGCTCCAGCTAGTCCTGGGAAGAGGGACGCCGCAGCCAAGGTTTCTGTCCGTGGTGCTGAACTCCCTCCAGCCCCACCTCGTCCCCTGACCTAGCAACTAGAGCGTCTTGGCGAACCAGGTAAAGATACAGATTCACAGATTCCCTGGCCCCTCCTTTGGAGACTTGGGTTCTGAAGATGTACAGCTCTGGGCCCTGGAATATGTTTTTGTCAAGCGCCGGTGATTTGTGGCGCTGGCCTGAGGCTGACTCTCCCACCTAAGCAGTCTTTGTGAAGTGCTCAGCACTGTGCCAGATACTATGAGGTCCAGAGATGCACCAACAAGCGTCTCCACTCTAGGGGGAATTCATAAAATTATTCAGGAGATGTAGGGAGGGGAGGAGGGTGTTTTACGTGGACACTGGGCCAGGTACACCCTTCAACTTACCCTGCAAGGTAAGTAGGCACATGAACAGTCGTGTTCTTAACCGTAACATTTTTACCTTTCCTCAGGGTCTCCATGGCCCTCTCTGCAAGGCAAAGTGTGAGGCATCCGGCTCCTTCTGACCTCCCATGGATCAAGACCCAGATCGAACATCACTTTCCACCTCAAGTCTTCTTGACCCCTGCTGCCCCGCAGACCCCCCAGATTTTAGTCTTCCCTCTTGTGCGCCATGGTTTCATGTTATCAGTGACATGCTCTGCTGTCCCGGCCGCGATCTGAGCTCCCTGTTGAGGGAAGGGCTTGTCCCTGATTCCCCTGGGTAGCCTCTGATGTAGGAGCACTGCTACCCCCCCTCCCAGAGGAGGTAAGCAGTAAATTCTTATTGGCTGGCTGGCTGGGGGAAGCGTAAGTGGGTGGAGGAGTGTGTCCAGTGACTGTGCCCGAGGAAAGTGCTGCTGAGTGTCAAAGCAGCTGGGACAAGCGCTCAGAACCAAACGAAATCAGGGTGGGCCTCAGGGAAACCAGGCAAGCAGCCAACTGCAAATCAGGCAGGGGTCAAGGTCGGCCTCTCCTTCCGCTGGGTGTTTGGGGAGAACAGGAAGTGGAGACGGGCCAGCTGTTTCTGATGAAAACAGATGTTCTCTGGACCTGAATGTGGGGCATGAAGGAAGAGACAGGGGAAAGAGAAGGAGAACCATAGCCAGCAAAATGGAATATCCACAGGCCCTCTTGGTTTAATTTTACTTTTTATTATGGCAATTTTTAAGCCCACACCAAAGTAAAAGGAGTAACATAATGAACCCCCGTGTGCCCAGCACCAGCTTTGACAACCAACCCCATTTTGCCATTATTTCCCCTCGAGCACCTCTTTAAAGAAAATTCCAGATGTTTTATCATTTTATCCATATTTTCGAATGTGTCTCTCACATATTAGAACATTCAAGAAAAACTCAATATTGTTATCACACCTAATAAAATTAACTATTTCTTAATACCACTCGAATACAAAGTCCATGTTCAAATTTTCTCATTTTTCTAAAAAAGCAAAACACCATTTACTTTAACCAGGATCCAAACAAGGTCCTCACATTGTGTTTTGCTGCCATGACTCTCAAATCTCTTTCAATCTCTTCCCTCTCTTCCTTTCTTATGCCATTTTACTTGTTGAAGAAACAAAGCCCTTTGTCTTCATTGTTGATTGGGGGGATTGAACCCTCATGGTGTCATCAGCAGGTTCCACTGCACCCCTCCTATTTCCAGAAAACAAGTATTTAGATCCAGAAGGTTGGTCTGTGTAGGGTCAATTATTTTAACAAACAGACTTGCTGAGTGGTGCTCTGTCCTTCCTACTGGATCTATCAGGAGCACTTAAAGTCAAAGTTTCCTTTTTGGGGGCATACCAGTGTCACCAGCCTGACCCCCCCTTTACAAGGCACCTCGCCTACCACCTTTTGTAGACTCTTAAGGCACTGACAGAGCTGGAAGGGATCTGAAAAGCTCATTCACTCATTTTCCTACTCATCCCACAAGTATTTGTTGAGCATCTACTATGTTCCAGGCAGTGAGCTGCAGTAAACAGCAACAACAAGACCCCTGGGATTGTGGAGCCAACAGTCAGCTGGGAGCAGACAACAAATACATGAGTGAGCAGATGCACCAACAAGAGATGTGTCTGCAAAGGTTAGAGCTGCCATAGTGAGGTGACTGAGTGACTGCTGTCAGGTGGACACTTTGTGATGGGTCACCAGGAAGCACCTCCCTAGGAAGGACATAGGAGCTCGATTCAGCCATGCAGAGATGGGGTGCACTCCAGGCAGAGAACCTGGGTACCCACCAGGAGAAACCGGGGGCCAGTGTGCCGGAGCCCAAGCATTGGGGAGGCCAACGAGGAGGCTGCTGTGGTAACACAGGCGGGACTGACAATGGCTGGGACCTGGGTGGTGGAGTGGAGGTGACGGCCAGTCCAGCACCCCCTCGACCCCCTTTTACAGATGACAAAACTGAGCTCAGAGAGGGCAGGGAGGTAGTGTTCATTGAGATGCTACCTGCACCAGCAGCTTTCTGTGCCGTCTCCAGACCCAGAGCATGCTGCACAGAAGCCATTGTGCCCATTTTACAGGTGAGACCAGTGAACAATGGAGTCATCTGCCTAAGGGTGTAGAACCGGAGGTGGGAAGGGGGGTAAAGTCAGGCCTGGTGAGGCTCCCAACCCTCCAGAGTCATCCCACACTGAGATGACCTCTGCAGGGTCAGCTTTCCTCAAATCTTGGCTCTGGCACCCCTAAGCCCTGTGACCTGGACTAAGGGCCTTCTCCCTCTCTGTGCCTCAGTTTCCTAACCTGTAAAATGGGAATAATATTTGCCCCAGGGACACAGAAAGGCCAAGATGGAGTAGACCAACCTCGCCCCCTACTCCTAGCCCCTGCCCGCGGGGCCCACACGGGCCACCTCAGCCCGGAGTGTAGCAGCTGCACACTCTCCCACACACGCACACGAAGGGTTAAGCCCAGACTATGTCCTCTATCCCGATTCTGATCCTTGCTGGCTCTGCCCCTCCCTCCCGCAGCTATTCTGGGACAATGGAGGCAGCAGATGGCCTGTTCCCTCCGCTTGACCCTCAGAATTTGGGAACAACTCACGAGTCCGATGCTGCTTCTAAAAGAGGAGGCGGGCAGCCTTCCACGTGCGGAGTGGAGAGGACCGCGGCTCGGAGCACACCGTGCCATCCCCACCCGGCTGCGGGGCCAGCGGCCACTCCTCCTCGGCTCACATCCCCCAAACCCAGCCCCAAAGGAGAGGCGGCTTTGGAAGAGCCTGAGCCTCTGGCCCAGCATCTGACCTGCTGTGTGACCACAAGCACACAGCAGTCCCTCGCTGGGCCTCAGGTTCCTCCCTGGAACACAGGCGCCGAGGCTCTGGTGCTCAGTGGTTCCAGAGTAGCAGCAGGGACAGGTCCCTCAAGGCTGGTGGGTGTGCTCCGGAGGAGCACCTCCATCCCTTAGGATCTCTCCTCCCTTCCCCCAGCCCAGAGTCCCACTGTGACACTGACTTCCCACATTCCTGGGCACGATGCGAGTGGGGAGAAGAGACCCCCCATCCCTAACCCACCAACCATGCACCACCGGGCCTGAAACCTCCCCATGATCGCTTCACCCATTCACCCAGCCTCTCTGGGACCTGAAGTGCGAAGGGCGCCTGCATTTATTCAGCTCCTACCTTGACTATCAAATCGCCCCTTTATCCAACACCAGAGGCTGAAGCCCTTGGCTCCGAGTCTCCATTCTTTCTTCCCTGAGCCTCTGGCCTCCTCCAAGCCAGGCTCCGAGGGCACAGAAAAGGAGGAATAGCTCCTGCAAACCAGCACCTCATGACACACACATATGTACACATGTGCACATATCCACACACATGTATATATCCACACACGTGTGATGGTCACACACACATACACCACACCTAAGTCTTATGCGCAGGTGTGTAGAAGGGAACATGCCATGAACACCTTATCACACGGTGGCTCACACACACTAACAGGTCAGCATTCAGAGCCGGGCGCCTTTCTCTGTGCCAGGCCCTGTGCCATGTCCTACAAACACTGTATCACTTCCTGCAGACACCAACCCAGGAAGAAGGTATTCTTTTTCTCATCTGTAAGAACAGAAATGTCTGGGCAAACAGGCCAGACAGACCAGGTGGATTCCCCAAGTTTGCATGGCCAGTGAGGCCGAGCAAGGATAACATTTTAGCCACTGTAACAAAAAAACTGGACCAAAAGAATCTTGGACGAATAAGGGTTTAATTTTCTTACAGAACCCGATGCTAGACAAGACAGGTGTGGGTGATTGTCTTGGCCTTTTGTTCATGGCAGCAAGGTGGCTGCCCCAGATCCAGACATCACACCCACATTCACAGCAGGAAGAGGGAGTCCGGGGCTGCAAAACTTTCCCCAGAATCCTCTCCATCGGCTTTGCTTAGTTCACACTAACAGACAGCTCTGACTCTAGGCAGCTGGGGTACATGGAAGCTCCTAACAGCACAGGGAGCTGAGAAAGTGAGCAAAGGGATCATCAAGTTTGGCTGGGACCCATGAGGATCCATCGTCTGACCTGGGCAGGCTGATAATCCAAACAAAATTGGGTTCTGTTAGCAAGGACTGGGGAGCAAGGAGCTGGAGACTGGTCAGTAACAACAGTGTCTGGCAGAGACCCTGCATTTGGCCACTTTTCCACCTGGGTCCCCTCAGTGGTTGCAGATCCAGCCAATGGATCCAGGAGTGGGTGGCCCAGTGCTTGACCCCAGGGGAATGACTGAGAAACCAGAGCTGGGGGTGGGGGCCACACTCCACCCATGTAATTCTCTGGAGGGTTAGGGCTCCTGAGCCCCAGCCCAGCTCAATGGGCCCCACCTTGTTCAACTCAGCCACCCAGGGCCCATGGGAGCCCAGCTGCTGGGGCCTTTCTGGCCTTCGCCTGGTCCCCGGGCCGTCCAACCCACCTCCCAAAAGTCTGCGATGGCTTCACCACCAGTCACTGTCCAATTCTGGGCTTGCCCACCACTCAGAGGCCCTGCCAGGAACTGGCCACCCCAGGACACTTGCCACAGGCCCTCAGAGCTGCCTTGTGAAGCAAGGGACAATCAGAGGCCTCAGTTCAACAATCGTCCAGCAGTTCAGGATTCATTGGGCCACCAGCTGTGGGCACCAGGGAGTATCTGGGTAGAGGAGACAATGCAGGGAGCGAAACCTATGGAGAGAGCAGAAATGGACAAGACGGTCACCCCAGCCTTACCCTCACCCCCGTGGGCTCCTAAGGGAGATGATTGGAGTGGGGTTTCTCCACCTCAGCACTATTAACATTTGGGACTGCTAATTCTTGGTTTGGGGGGCTGTCCTGTCTGTTGTAGGATGTTTAGCAGCATCCCTGGACTCTACCCACTAAATGCCAGTAGCATCTCCCTAAGTCATAACATTCAAAAATGTCTCCAGACATGGCCAGATGTCCTCAGGGGGCAACATGTTCCCTGGCTGAGAACTACTGCTTTAGAGAGACTCTGAAGGCCAGAGAAGCCATAAGGAGACCTCAGCTGAGACCCAACCATTTAACCCTATATATCTGAGTCCCCAGTCCTGCAGCTCCATTAGGCAGAAACCCATGGATACCAGAATCACCAGGCTTAGAGCATTTAACATCAATTCTTAAGGCTCTTGGCGCTATAGCCACAGTTTGCACATCTCCACTGATGGGGAGCTCACCCCATTAGAAGACAGCTCCCTGGTCCCACAGCCCTTGGAATAGTTGTGAGTCATCTGCCCCCAGACAGACAGCTCAACAGAGCTTCAGAGCCAGGAGTCCTGGTTCTCCCAAGGGGTACATACTCCAGATAAACCCAAATCCAGACACAAAGCCTTGGTGGGGGTGGAGTCCCCTGCCACCTCCCCAAATGACTCTGACACCACCCCCCTCTCTTGTCCCACATTCCACTCCCACTGTCTTCCTTCACTTTCTTCAGCAGGTCTTGTTCCAGCTGCCACAGTATGTCACAGCTGGGCTCTAAGCTGCTCTATGACAGCCAGGGGCTGAGCTGAACAGCCCTAACCAACCTGTGACCAGTCTGGGGGCAGAACCAGAAGGTGCCCACATCACATCTTAGCCCCCATTCCAACCCTCTACCCACCAAAAACAACCAAGGAAACAAAGAGCTTACAAAAGATCCAATAAAAATTCCCCATCAGGCCCTGGCCAGTGTGGCTCAGTTGATTGGAGCGACATTCTGTGTACCGAAAGGTCATGGGTTCGATTCCCACTCAGGGCATATGCCCAGGTTGCGGGTTCATCCCCGGTCGAGATGCATAAGGGAGGCAACGGATCAATGTTTCTCTCTCACATCGACGTTTCTCTCTCTCTCTCCTTTCCCCTCTCTCTAAAATCAATAAAAACATATCCTCAGGTGACAATTTTTTTAAAAATTCCCTTGCCCTAGCTGGTTTGGCTCAGTGGTTAGAGTGTCAGCCTGTGGACTGAAGGGTCCCGGGTTTGATTCCGGCCATGGGCCCGTGCCTCGGTTGCAGGCTCGATCCCCGGCCCTGGTCGGGGCACGTGCGGGAGGCAACCAGTCCATGTGTCTCCCTCACATTGATGTTTCTCTCTCTCTTGCCCTTCCTCCCTCCCTTCCATTCTTTCTGAAAAGCAATGGAAAAAATATCCTCGGGTGAGAAAAAATAAAAATTTTTTAATTTTTTAAAATTCCACATCAGTGCCTGAAGGTCCTCCATTGGAGCAGCTCCTTTGCTCAGTGAAAACATTTCAGTCTTCCAGGGGCTCCTGAAGGATCCCAGAGGATCAGGGCCGGGAGAACCCTTCAGATCCACAACACTCGGCCTCCTGGTGTCTCAAAATAGGGAGATTATGGCCCAGAGAGGGCAAGGCACTTGCCCAAGGTCACACAGCAAGCCAGTGGTGGAGCAGGGGCTGAAATTGTGCCCTTCACCCCCAGCTCTGTGCTGTCGGCCCAAAGGCCTCTCTCACACCCCTCCCTCCTGGCTCCCCCACCTTTGGGGGCCTGGGATAAGCCTCATTCCTCCCGCTTGACTGTTTCAGCCCCAGTCCCACCTGGAGGGGTCCTCCTCAGGGGAGAAGGGGCCCCGTAGCTTGATGACATTGCGCTTCCCCTCAAAGACGCCGTAGCTGAGGGTGACCTGGGCAGGGAGAAGCAGAGAAGAGAGGGAAGGCTTGAGGGGTATTCCACTGGGGACCCCACAAAGGGGCGAATTTGGGGGGAAGCAGGAAGGCACACAGGCATGTTGAGGGCACAGGTAACCTGCCTCTGTGCCTGAAGCCCATTAGCGGTGGGTGCTTCACCAGGAGCCCTCCCACTCCCCCGGTACTTCGAGTGTGTACAGCATCTTCAGGCCCAAGTCCTGCTCACAGCCCCACCAGTCCAGCTAACCTGGGAAACTGCAACGATTCCCTCATCTACAGATTGGGAAACTGAGGCTCAAGAGGGAAGGCACCTTTCCAGTGTGTGCCTGGGTGGAGGTTTCCCGAGATGCACTGGGGGCCCTGGCAAGTCCCCACCCCCCTCAGAGCCTCAGGTTCTCCATAAGCAGCAGGGATTTGGGATGAGCCCAGTCAAGAGGCTGTCAAGGACATGGTTACAGACTGTCAGCTTAGGGGTCACCCAGCCAGGGTTCAAATCCCCCTCTCCATGTACTAATGTGCACCATGGTTAGTTCCACACTCTGGGCCTCAGTTTCTCCATCTGTAGAATGGCAATAATGTTTGTACCAACCTCACGTGAATGTTATGAGACACCAGAGAGTTAAAGAAGATGAAGCCCCCAATGTGGTGCCTGGAAACCCCATTAGGGTGCCCTGGTTTTGGTTGCCCCAAATCTGCCCCCTTTTCCTGGCTTCGGGCCCTGAGGTCCTAATGGGACCAACCCCACACCCCAGCTCCAGAGCTAACTGATCTACACTAATTCTAGGTGCTGGAAAGAGACAGGCCATGTGACCCAGGTGTGCCCTCTGGGCAGCGAGTGGCAACCTTGGGACCTGCGGAAGGAGGCACTCTCCTCCTCTGGGTGAGAGAGACCTGGGGCTGCCAGCTTGCCAGCAAAGGGGGCAAGCCTGCCTGAGGATGAGACCAGTGTGGGGGGAGGCAGATGAAAGAGGGAACAGAGTCCGAGTGCCCAGACCCAACCAGACCCAGCGAGTCAAGCCAAGCCCTTGGCTTCTCAGGTGCGCGGCCCATAACTGTCCTTCTGTTGATCCAGTCTGTGTCGCTTTTCTATCACTTGCGGCCGAAAGGGTTCTAACTTGCACTGTTGGAGGCAGATCCCAGGGGCCTCCCAGCCAGGACCACCTACAGGGCTGGGAACCTATGACCTGGAGAAGAGCATCTGCAGGGCAGTGCCAGCGGGACCCCAGCAGACTCATTACCTGCCAGGTGGAGGATGGGGCCCCACCCCTCCCCGAGCCTGACTTGCCACTTGCGTGTCCCCCCTGAAGGCTGCCCTTCCCAGGAACCTCTGGGTTAGAAGGCAAAGCTGCGCGCAGTAGGCAGGTAAGCTCCTGAAGGAAGGGGCTGCTGATGGGCGGAGCCAGAAAGGCTGGCCTGGCCCCTTCGGAGGGATGGGGGGAGATGGAGGAATGAAGAAAGAGAGAGGGACAAGAGGTAGCAGGCTGGGAGCAAGGTTATCTGAGCCTGAAGACAAGCTTCATCTCGTCTCTGCAGTTCCTTCCAGCTGGCACTCGGGGACCGGATCAAAGAATTTTAGCATTACAACCCTCGAGGTTTGAAGGTGGAGAGTCACTGTATGCCCTTAAGGGGGTCCTTTTGCCACCCTGGGCCTCAGTTTCCCTGTCAATAGGGGATAGCCCAAACATAAACTCCCCCCCACTGCCCCCTGCCCCGTGGCCAGCTCACCTGCTCCAGGAGCTGGGCAGCCCCCAGCAGCTGCAGGGTCTCCAAGTGGGAATGGAAGAGGGGGCTGGGCTGCAGGTGGCCACCCAGCTTGCACTCAATTATGTAGCCCACAGTACAGTCGTCAGGAAGTCGGATGAGCGCAGACGTGTCCACGAAGCGGGGGCCGCTGAGGGATAGAGCCGAGCCATGGCCACTGGCCTGTACCCTCAACACCTAGCGCCCTCCCTGCCTCCCAGAAGGCCCTCCCCTGGGATCGGCCGGCAGAGTAGAGCTTGGCTCTAGCATCTGCCTCCTGCATACTGTGTGATCTCCTGAGCTTTCGCTCAAGTCCTTCCTGCTGCAAAGTCCCCCCACACACACCAAGTGCCACCTGCTCTCAGCAACTCCCCTCCCCCCCACACCTGGGCGGGTCTCTGCTTACCTGGCCCACGGGACCATCTTCAAAGCCAGTTTGCGGTTGATGCAAAAGCCGGCACCCCCCGTGGCAAACCAGAACTGTACCAGCCTCTAGGGGGAGAGGAGGGGACAGCCAAGGTGCAGAGTAAGCCTGGGGTGGGGGAGGTGGGGGCAACAGCCAGGCCACCCCTCACTCCCAGCCAGCATGGCGCCAAAGCTTTGTATTTCATACTTCACTATAGAGTCTTGCTACAGCCTAACATTAATATGCCCATTTTATAGATGAGGAAACTGAGGCCCAAAGTCACATAGATAATTAAGATGATGGGGACACCAATTAGACCCCAATCTGGCTGGATTCTGGCTATAGAGGGCATGTGTACTGTGTTCCCTGCACACTTCACTCCTTTCCCCAGAGAAATGTCTCTACCTTAACCCCATGTGGTTTGAGAGGGGCTACCAAACACCTGCTCCCCTAGGCCACAGAGGCGGGCAGGTGCCTCAGGACTGATCACAGGGCCACACCCCTTGACCCAATGATTGGCTCAGCAACAGGCACATGACTTAGGCCAACCAGCTGGGATCCTTTCCTGAGCTTTATGCTAACTGTGAGGAAGAGATGTTTTCCCCAAGCTGGCAAGCTATAATCCTGATGCCGCCCACATCAGGATACATACACTGACTGGTCTTGCCTCTCCTAACTCCTGGGACTGAGAAAGCTTTTCCACAAAAGGACAGAATGAGGCCACTCATTGAGTGAAGAGAGAAGAGACAGGCCTGTGAGCCCGAGGCCAGCAAACCCCTTGACATCTCAACCTCACGGACCAATAACATCCCTTTGGGATTTAAACCACTTTCTGCCCCTGCCCAACATCACCAAGGCCTCTTCTAGTTCCTCTGTGTGGCCCTGGGAATTTACCTTGGAATCTAAGGCTTTTGAGAAACACTGGACCCTCTCAGCTGTACCATCTCTTGTCAAGCAAGTTCCCTGAGGTCACCTTCTCCCAGGTACACAGTTGTTGCTCCACTGACGCTTGTTGCATTGGGGTGCATCTCCCAGGATACAGCAGTGAACAGAACCCTCCACAGGGAGTTGAGAAGCCTGGTACTGGGTTCCCTGCTGCTTCCTCCACTTTGAGAAAGTCACTGTCCGTCTCTGGACCTGATTTGTCACCCGGGAGGGCAACATTGGCTCTAAGTTCTAACATCCAGTGGTTCCCCTGGCCTGAGGTTCTCCTCCTATAAACCTCTGCGAGCTTACTTCTGGAAATGCTGCCCTCTTAGAGAGTCAGGGCTCAGCAAGGCTTGGAATGAATGGCTTCTTAAGGAGCCAACACACAGGAGGTGCCCAGTAAATGCTTGTTTAGTGAATTGATGAGTGCATGGCTGCTACTCCCAGATAATTATAGTAACAGCACACACAATGGAACTGCCTGACCCTGGGCACTGGCTGTGCTAAGGGCTGTGCCAGCAGATGAGGTGACAGAGGTGCACAGAAGCGAAACCACTTGCCTGAGGTCCCAGAGCCGGGACTAACCCCAAGCCCAGAGCTCTTGCCTTTTTCCTGTCCCACCCAGGGGGGCCCCAAGGTGTGAACAGGCCAGGACACTTTGGGGCAGAGTCCTGGCATCCCAGTGGTGGGGTGCATGCAACATTCATGCACGTTGTGGGGGACAGGGCCTGGGTGTGCCCAGCAGCATGTGGAACCCGCACAGGAAGAGCAGGGCTCAGAGATGAAGGCTGAGCTGAGTCGGTACCACCTGCTAACACTTACTAACACTTACTGGTATCTGTTATATACCAGGCCCCATTCTGAGCACTTGGATAGATGCCACTTAAGTCTTTCCTTTTTTGCTCTCAACCACCCTATGGGGAAGAAACTATTATCACCCATTTCACAGATGAGAAAATTGAGGCACAGAGAGGTAAGGAGACTTCAATCAAGGTCAGGAAGCCAAGAGGTGACAGGGCTGTTGTGTGAACCCCGGAGTCTGGCTCCAGAATAGAGCTCTCAATCTCTGAGGTCAAGAGTGAAATGGTGTAAGAGCCTGGGGGACCCCTCGGCTCACCTGAAATCCACTCACAGACACACACCCTGGGGCCCCGGAGGATTTAATTAGGACTCAGAGGCTGATTAGTTGCTGATAATTAAGGTTTTGTGTTTCCTGCTCTCTCTGTTTCCCTAACGAAGCAGATGGTGACCGAGGGAGGGAGACAGCCCCCCGCGGGCCCAGCTCCTGCTGCAGACGCTGCCTCTAGAGAAGAGACAACTTGCCTTTTCCTGGAGCCAAGAGGGCCCTGGAGGCCCAGGCCCCCCAACACCGAAGCCTGGTGGCATCCAGGGGGCAAGTGGGAGCACGCGCAACATACTTGTACTAAAAAACTCTTTGTTCATCTGAAAGTCAAATGTAACAGGTACCGTAGGTTTCATTTCTTTGTTTTCTAAATCGGGCAACCCTCATCTGTTTCCCCCAGGTCTGGAGTGGAAGCTGGTGCTGGGGACCCTGTTCTGTCATGTGTGGACTCTTCAGTCGCTGGTTAGAAAAGTCTGGAGGGAGGAGGATTGCCTAGGGGAGGGGAGCGTTCAGGGGCTCAAGGCCTGGGCAGTTAACAGGCTGACCCAGCAATATTCAACATTTTAACAACTTGTAAAACCACACAAAACTGCAGGCAGCCAGGAGCCCTGCTGTGGAGTCTGGAAGCCTCAGCTCATCCCATGCTCCACTCACTGTGTGACCAGGACAAGCCACTGCTCCCAATGACCAAGGCCCTACTATGTGACAGCTTCTCTGCCTTACCGGTGTTATCTCAGTGTCCCCATTCCACAGAGGAGGAGACAGGGTCAGAAGGAAAGCCACCAGCCCAAACACACAGTGAAACCCAGGAAACCCACCACCTCCTCCACGGCCTGCCCCAGCCTGGCCTCACCCCCAAACCCAGCAGCCCAGGCTGGCCCCTGTCCAGTGGGCAATGCATGGAGGAGTCAGGGAGGGACGGACCGTGCGATTATGGGGCTGCGGCTCAGAAGCTTGGATGGGCCGGTTCAGGCTGGGCCGGCCTACATAGACATCGAGGGTCAGCGGGAAGGCTTTGAGCAGCTTCAGCAGCGCCCTCGGGTTCACATAGTTGTCGTCGTCCACGTGACAGAGCCACCTGTGGGGACAGAAGGGGACAGTGAGCTTGGCGGGGCTTCCCAGGGGCTGCCAGCCGCTGTGCCCCCATAATCAATCAATGGACAGTTACGGGGGGATGGAGGCTCACATTTAAGATAACTGATCTGGGCCAGGCAGTGTCTGTGCAAGCTCTTGAAGAAGGTGTGCCCATTTAAGCAGTGGGGACTGAGACTCAGAAAGGTTAAGACACTTGCCCCAGGTCACACAGCCAGTGAATGGCAAGATTTGAACCTAGACAGTCTACCCAAAGACAGACCAGGCCACAGGAGGCCCTACATGAGGAAATTCACAGACTTCACTTTTTCAACATGACCACCCCACTCAGGAAGTGGCCTGAGGCGAAGGTCACACCCGCCCTCGGAGACCCAGATGCACTCACCTCAGCCCACTGGCCAAGAAGGCATCAAACTCAGCAGCCATCTTGCAGGACAGAGCTGGGTGGCTGTGCTCCGAAGAGCAGTTGGTGACCACCAGGTGGGACCCTGGCGAAGTCAGGACAAGTCAGAGGCCCCTGCCCAGCTCCCCCCCACAGCGCTGCACACACACTGTGACAGGACAGAGTAAGGCCTCAGAGGGCCTGCAGCAGTCCAGCCACAACCACTGTACACACGGGGAAACTGAGGTCAGGGAGGGCTGACCTGCCCGGGACCCCATAGCTGATGGACTCGCCCAGCACAGCCCCTCCCCACACCCACACCCACTTCCAGGGAAGAAGCTGGCCCTCCTCCTGGGCAGAGGGGACCCCCCGGGCCCCGGGCCAGGGCACAGCCACCCCACACAGGCCAAGCAGAGTTACCCAGTCTCTCCCGGAGGCCTTCGTCCGGGCTGTCGGTGAAGACAAAGGTCTGGGGAGAAGAAAGGGGAGTCAGGCCCGGGCTCAGGCCAGGGAAGCGGGGAGGCGGGGAAGGCAGCGCACAGCCCAGCTCCACGACCCGCCCGTCGGGGCAGACGCACGCACGGCAGGCTCTGCCCTCCGCCAGTGACAAACACACCCGTCTCCAGTCACACACTCCCGTGGGACAGCATGACTTTCTCGGCTACACCCCCCGCACAACACACACACAACTGTGGGGGCTAAAAAAATATTAATGCTTTTCCTCCCACCTTCCAAGTTCTTGTAGCTGGGCCACTAATCAAATGAACAGAGACAGGATAACAGGAGAAAATCAAAGTTTTAACACACGCGCATGGGGAAGCCACACAAGCATGAAAATTCCAAATACAGAGAGGCAACCCTGGGTCTGTAAGACATTTTGGACAAAGGAGAAGGGGGGGGGCTAGACTGCAGAAGTGAGAATGGGCGATTTCCAGGTAGCTGAGGAAGTGGGCACAAGCCCCGCAGGAAGATCCCGCGGCTCACAGCAGGTACGCGGCTGACAGGCTGGAGCCCTCCTACTAGGGTGCGGGTTCTTAAGGTGATTCAACCAAAGCCGGCAGGAAGGGGGGAGGGTCAAAGGCTCCCTCTGAGTCTTGTTTCTTAATAAGCAGTTTAAAATCAATATCCCAAAGAGCAGCGTCAGGGTGGCAAAACTTTGGTTCCCTCCACAAGCCAGCTGTTGCAGACACACAACTTCACTGCGCACACCAACCCACCCGTCTCACTCACACTCACCCCTTCACAGACCAGCACCCACAGAGGCCCTATCAGTCACAACCTTGGCAGAATCACACCCTCCTCTATCACACACACACACACACACACACAGTCCCACTGGCTCCTTCACAATCATATACACACAACCCTAAACACTGTCAGGAGACAAACTGAAAAGACCCCCACGCTGGGACACTACACCACTTAGCGGGACAGTCACAACTTTCAGAGCCACACAAAATCCCCGTGCATTTGCAGCCCCCCACCCCCCCCATCTCAGAAATCTCGCATCTCAGAAACCTTGCATCATGACCCCATCCAGCTCTCCCGGAGCAGACGGGCACCCCACCAGGAGCTTTCTCACTCCTGGTCCCGACAGACTCATTAAACATGGAGACAGGTGTTGTCATCTGTCCCCCTCACAGATGGCACAACTGAGGCTAAGTGACGGGCCAAGGCTGTGCAGTTGGCAAGTGCCAAGCTGGGATTCAAACCCACAGGCCCGGGGCCACTCCCTTGCTCTCATGTCCCACCATAGCCACAGCTTTCCCCTGGGGAAGGCACCTGAGACTCAGCCTCAAGACTGAGGTCCGAGCTCCCCAACACCTGTACTTTCTCTCGGTCTCCCCATCTTTCCGGGACCCAACACCTTGGGGTCACTGTGTCTCCTGTTTCTCTCACTACGCCCCCATCCAGTCTGTCAGCAAATTCTGTCCACCTAACGTTTAAATGGCCCAGGATGCAACCTCTCCCCGCCGGCCTCCCCAGCCGGGCCATGCTGTGGTCCAGCCCACCCCCGTCACCTCCTGCCTGCTTTGCGGGCAGTCACCTTTCCCCTGGGCTCCCTGCTCTGTCCTGCCCCCAACCCCATGTCCGCTTTCAACACAACCCCCGAGGGAGCCAGTAAAATAAGTGAGGCCTTTCTCCCCCTCTCTCTGTCGAACTTTTGCCACCAAACAGCCACTAGATAGAGGAACTCTTCTAGAGTTTGGAGCACGAGCCAAATGGGCCAGGGAATGTTTGTCCCCGGGCGAGCGGGCCAGAATGAGTCAGTGCGGGGAGGGGGAAAGGAGGGGTCCTGCAGCGGGGCTTGGGGGCTGGGCAGGGGGCATGGGAATCCTGAGGTTGGCACAGAGCAGTGGGCAGTTTCTTCTGAGCAAGGGTTGAATTTGATTTGTTTAAAGAGGGGACCCTGCCAATGGTTAAAACCTTGCAGGAAAACAAAGGGACAGGCAGCCTACTGGAGGGGAGGGGGTGGCCGGAGGGCCACCTGCT